AAAGTGCAGGCATTGTACTTCCCATTTCCAGGACTCAAGTCCGGCTGTATAAAAATAACCTGTTTCCCTGAATCCCTTCACTAAATATTACCCTGCTCACACTCCAACAGTTCATCAAGTCCCAAATACCGCCCACAAAACCCCCTTTACTCCCTCCCTCCAACCTTTTCGAGGACGACCCCTACCCCGCCTTCCATCCCGTACAGATTTATACGCTCTCCATGTCATTCTACTTTGATCCATTCTCTCTAAATGACCAAACCACCTCATCAACCCCTCTTCAGCCCTCTGACTAATACTTTTATTAACTCCACACCTTCTCCTAATTTCTGCACTCCGAATTTTCTGCATAATACAGTATTTACACCACACATTGCTTTTAGACTGGACATCTCCACTACCTCCAACCGTCTTCTCACTGCAGCATTTACAACCCAAGCTTCACACCCATATAAGAGTGTTGGTACCACTATACATTCCCTTCTTTGCCTCCATAGAAAAGGTTTTCTGTCTTCAGATATACCTCAATGCACCACTCGCCATTTTTCCTTCATCAATTCTATGTTTAACCTCATCTTTCATAAATCCATCCGGTGACACATCAACTCCCAAATACAGTGGACCCTCGACATTCAATACTAATCCATTCCTGAGAGCTATCGAATGTCGAAAATATCGAAAGTCGAATTAATTTTCCCCATAAGAAATAATGGAAATCAAATTAATCCATGCAAGACACCCAAAAGTATAAAAAAAAATTTACCACATGAAATATTAAGTTTAATGCAATAGAATAATTACAATAACAACCATAACAATAGATTAATAACAATAGAATAATTGACACTTACCTTTAATGAAGATCTGGTGATGATTGATGGGATGGGAGGAGGGGAGTGTGTGGATGGTGTTAGTGTTTAGAAGGGGAATCCCCTTCCATTAGGACTTGAACTGGCAGCCTCACCATGCCTTACCACACTGTGTATGCCACTACGATTCTTAAATCTTTCAAACCAACCTTTGCTGGCCTTAAATTCACTCGCATCACTAGTTGCAGGCAATTTCTTTACCAAATCATCATGCACTCCGACACACGCACTCCACTTTCGTACTTTGCAATTATCTCTTTCGTCATTTCAATAGTCATTAGCACATTTTTTCTCGAAGGGTTGGCACTAGAAGCTTTCTTGGGGGCCCATGGTTACTTATTTTGTAGAAACAAGCACCAAAAACAGTGATAATATGGATAATATGGAATGTAACGAATGTATCCTTAGATGCACGCACACTGGCTGGCTTGTAAACACTGGCACACATGGGGCAGTTCAGGCCAAACTTGGACACGTCTCTTACGAATCGTATCGAATGTCAGGTTTTCCATCGAATGTCGTGGCAAAATTTTTGCGTTAAAATGCATCGAATGTCTGATTTATCGAATGTCGATGCCATCGAATGTCGGGGGTCCACTGTATCTGAAAACATTCACTTCTTCCATACTCCTCCTCTCCAATTTGATATCCAATTTTTCTTTAAATCATTTGATACCCACATCACCTTACACTTTTCTATGTTTATATCTGTAGTCACAGTGATGATGGTGACTGTTGTTGCTGGTGCAGCTGAGGTTGCTGCTGCTGCTGTGGCCATGGTGGCAACTACTGCAAATTTATCTAGTTTATTTTAAGTTCATTACTGTATCTGCAATGTTTATGTTTTTGATTCCATAAGTAATATATCTTTTTCTTTCAGGATTTAGATTGGTTTGCACATATGCAAAACCCAGTGGAAGTCGTCCAAACACAGCCAACATGCAGCTTCTCCTCACTTAACAACTGAATTCCATTCCTAAGCCACAGTCAGTAAACAATTCATGCTAAGTGAGGAGCATACTATAATGGTAGTGGGTTTGTGTTAACTATCTTTGATATTACAGTGACCCCGACATTCGATATGAATCCATTCCTGAGAGCTCATCTAATGTCGAAAATATCAAAAGTCGAATTAATTTTCCCGATAAGAAATAATGGAAATCAAATTAATCCTTGCAAGACACCCAAAAGTATGAAAAAAAAAATTTTGCCACATGAAATATTAAGTTTAATGCAATAGAATAATTACAATAACAACAATAACAATAGATTAATAACAATAGAATCATTGACACTTACCCTTAATGAAGATCTGGTGGTGATTGATGTGATGGGAGGGGAGAGTGTGGATGGTGTTAGTGTTTAGAAGGGGAATCCCTTTCCATTAGGATTTGAGGTATCAAGTCTTTTTCCAGGATTACTTCCCTTCTTTTAATGCCACTAGGACCAGCTTGAGAGTCACCGGACTTCTGTCACACAACATATCTGTCCATAGAGCTCTGTATCTCCCGTTCCTTTAAGATTTGTCTAAAATGGGCCACAACATTGTCATTGTAATAGTCACCAGCACGGCTTGCAATAGCTGTGTTAGGGTGATTATTACAAAAAAGTAATTTTTAAAAGGAAGAGATGTTAAGATTTACTCCTTTTGTAATAAAGAGTTCGGGATACATAAATACACACATTAATATAAATTAATCTTTAATATATAAAAATCAACAAATCTTTGGTCTGGGGTTTATTTGAACTATGATTAATAATAATATGTACATGTTACTATAATAAAATTTTTAATCAGCTTTTTTTACTAAAATATAATTAAAAACCCCTTCACAGGGTAAACTCTTGACACTACTGTCACTATATATATATATCTCTATGCTAAAACAATAAATTATAAATAACATTTTTATAATAATAAATTACAATCAACTGCCTCTCACGACACGAAGTCAGTCACACGACACTGTTCAGTGTACACTACAACCAGGCCATCTTCAGTGTCCCACGACACCCTTTTCATCTCAGTGTTCCACTACGGTCCTGTGATAATCAGTGTTCCACTCCATCGTACGTCCCTCAGTGTCACACTACGGTCCTGGCCCAGTTCAGTTGTAACCTCCAAACCTTTTCTAATGTAATTGTCCCACTAAACAGCAATCTGACGACTCCGGCCCAGTTTGATCAAGTAGACGGTGAGTCCCCAGACATCACGTAGTCCAAGTAAATCCTCTCCAAAGGCGGTTGACACACCGCTAGCCGAACACCATGCTGCAAGCTCACTGAATGCGGCCGTCAAGTAACTGAGGCCAACAGACTCAGTGAGCTGCGGTGAGCGGTTCTTCAACGCAGTAGATAGGTCGATTCGGTGGTCAGGTAACCTACTGCATAGACGTGTACCCTGGGGAGTTCAGGTACTTAATGTTGAAGCCAGTAGACGTGTACCCTTCGGTGGTCAGGTCCTACTGCTTAGGTGTGTACAGCGAGGCGCTCGGGTACATAATATTTCTAAACCCCAGTAGACGTGTACCCTTCGGTGGTCAGGTACCTACTGCTAGGTGTGTACAGCGAGGCGCTCTGGTACATACTGTTACTAAAGCCAGTAGACGTGTACCCTTGGGGTGGTCAGGTACCTACTGCTTAGGTTGTTACAGCGAGGCGCTCTGGAAATTTACTGTTACTAAAGCCAGTAGACGTGTACCCTTCGGTGGTCAGGTACCTACTGCTTAGGTGTGTACCGTGAGGCACTCAGGCTCTTACTGCTCTAAGGCCGGCTCAGCAGTCCCCACATTGGGTTTGATGACGTACCCAGTGGTACTGCGGCGGCCAGGTTAACTATTTAACCGCTAGTTTGGCAGGGGGCCGCAACACCCCCTCCAAAAAAGGCCCGGGACACACAAAGATCAATGTAATATGTATCCCGAACCGTCATCCGGATATGATCATCCAGAAATCATTCTTGATAATCATTATCCTCCCGGACAGGCCCCCATATATTACAAAAAAGTAATTTTTAAAAGGAAGAGATGTTAAGATTTACTCCTTTTGTAATAAAGAGTTCGGGATACATAAATACACACATTAATATAAATTAATCTTTAATATATAAAAATCAACTATCTTTGGTCTAGAGGTATTTGAACTATGATATAATAATAATATGTACATGTTACTATAATAAATTATAATCAGCATTTTACTAAAATATAATTAATAACCCTACACAGGGTACAACTCTTGACACTTTCTGTACTATATATATATATCTCTATGCTAAAACAATAAATTATAAATAACATTTTTATATAATAAAATTTCAATCAACTGCCTCTCACGACACGAAGTCAGTCACACGACACTGTTCAGTGTAAAACTACAACCAGGCCATCTTCCAGTGTCCCACGACACCCTTTTCATCTCAGTGTTCCACTACGGTCCTGTGCATAACTCAGTGTTCCACTTTCCCTCGTACGTCCCTCAGTGTCACCTACGGTCCTGGCCAGTTCAGTGTAACACTCCAACCTTTTCTTCATGTAATGTCCCACTAAACAGCATCTGGGCGACTCCGGCCCACAGTTGATCAACGTTTGACGGTGAGTCCACAGACATCACCGGGAGTCCAGTAATCCTCTCCAAAGGCGGTTGAACACCGCTAGCCGAACACCATGCTGCAAGCTCACTGAATGCGGCCGTCAAGTAACTGAGGCCAACGACTCAGGAGCTGCGGTGAGCGGTTCTTCTAAGCCAGTAGATAGGTACGATTCGGTGGTCAGGTACCTACTGCATAGAGTGTACCTGAGGAGTTCAGGTACTTAATGTTGAAGCCAGTAGACGTGTACCCTTCGGTGGTCAGGTACCTACTGCTTAGGTGTGTACAGCGAGGCGCTCAGGTACATAAAATTTCTAAAGCCAGTAGACGTTTTACCCTTCGGTGGTCGGTACCTACTGCTTTGGTGTGTACAGCGAGGGGGCTCTGGTACATACGTTACTAAAGCCAGTAGGACGTGTACCCTTCGGTGGTCAGGTACCTACTGCTTAGGTGTGTACAGCGAGGCGCTCTGGTACATACTGTTACTAAAGCCAGTAGACGTGTACCCTTCGGTGGTCAGGTACCTACTGCTTAGGTGTGTACCGTGAGGCACTCAGGCTCTTACTGCTCTAAGGCCCCGGCTCAGCATCCCCACTTGGGGTTTGATGACGTACCCAGTGGTACTGCCGGCCGGCAGGTTAACTATTTAACCGCTAGTTTGGCAGGGGGCCGCAACAGTGATTTTCATCCATAAAGGTTTGCAGTTCAACCCACTTTGCACACATTTCCTTAATCTTTGAAGTAGGCACAATAGATTCCACAACTGGCATAGGCTTCTCAGGGTTAGCCCCAAACCCTTCAAAATCTTTCTTAATTTCCATACTAATTCTCACCCTTTTTACTACAGGGTTGGCACTAGAAGCTTTCTTGGGGCCCATGGTGACTTATTTTGCAGAAACAAGCACCAAAAACAGTGATAATATGGAATGCACTGAATGTATCCTTAGATGCGCGCACACTGGCTGGCTTGTAAACACTGGCACACACAGGGCAGTTCAGACCACACGTGGACACATCTCGTACGAATCGTATCGAATAGCGGGTTTTCGATCGAATGTCAAGGCGAAATTTTTGCGTTAAAATGCATCGTATGTCGAATTTATCGAATGTCGGAGGTCCACTGTATTTTAATGTCATCTTTGCACCATTTATAATATTTCGGGCATATTTATACAGTAGTGTACTGTACATGTATATTGTAATAAACAAAACAGAGGAAATCAGCTCTAATATACATTATTAAGGTATGCATACTGGTCAGAGAGCCTGTTGTAAGTCCAAAGCGTCGGTAAATGAGTACATCGCTAAGTGAGGAGAAGCTATACAGTGGACCCCCGCCTTACGATATTAATCCATTCCTGAGAGCTCATCGTATGCTGAAATTATCATAAGGCGAATTAATTTTCCCCATAAGAAATAATGGAAATCAAATTAATCCATGCCAGACAACAAAAAGTATGAAATTTTTTTTTTTACCACATAAAATATTAATTTTAATACACACAAACTGAAGAAGACATGTACAGTTAATACTCTACTAAGAATAGAATACATGACACTTACCTTTATTGAAGATCTAGTGATGATTGATATGATGGGAGGAGGGGAGAGTGTGGAAGTTGTTATTTGAGGTATCCTTTTCCGGGGTTACTTCCCTTCTTCTTTTAATGCCACTAGGACCAGCTTGAGAGTCACTGGACCTCTGTCGCACAACATATCTGTCCATAGAGCTCTGTACCTCCCGTTCCTTTATGATTTGTCTAAAGTGGTTCACAACATTGTCATTGTAATAGTCACCAGCATAGTTTGCAATAGCTGTGTGAGGGTGATTGTCATCCATAAAGGCTTGCACTTCAAGCCACTTTGCACACATTTCCTTAATCTCTTTTTTCAATTCCATACTAATTCTCACCCTTTTTGCCACAGGGATGGCACTAGAAGCTTTCTTGGGGTCCATAGTGACTTATTTTGCAGTTACAAGCACTACAAACACTGGGATAATGTGAAATGTAGCGAATGTATGCATAGATGCGACCGCACTGGCTGGCTTGTAAACACTGGCACTGAGGCCACATGTGGGACGCGTCCTGGACAAATCACATAAGGTGAGTTTTTTAGCGTGAGGCGAGGCAAAATTTTTGCATTAAAATGTATCATATGGCGGATTTAACGTAATGCGATGCCATCGTACGGCGGGGGGTCCACTGTATTTCCTTTCTGGTTGTTCCTTATTCATCATTGGTTTATGTCCTTGACTCATAGTAAATTTAGCATAATTGTTCAGCCCTTTGTTTAGTAAAGGCATGAAATTATGCTTTTTCGTTAGGTGAACTAAAATATTTTCAAAGAAAATGTATCACTGAATGATTAAGCCCCTGTTGAGTAACATTCAACCAGTATCTGATTAAATGTGATTTTCTTATCTAGAGTGTATAAATCTGTAGTGGAGGGAAGGCAGGGCAGAGGTCAGCCTAGGAAAGGTTGGACGAAGGGGGTAAAGGAGGTTTTGTGTGTGAGGGGCTTGGACTTCCAGCAAGCATGCATGAGCATGTTAGATAGAAGTGAATGGAGACAAATTGGTTTTTAGGACTTGACGTGCTGTTGGAGTATGAGCAGGATAATATTTATGAAGGGATTCAGGGAAATCAGCAGGCTGGACTTGAGTTCTGGAGATGTGAAGTATAGTGCCTGCACTCTGAAGGAGGGGTGTTAATGTTGCAGTTTTATAACTGTAGTGTAGGTGCACCTCTGGCAAGACATTGATGGAGTGAATGATGGTGAAAGTTTTTCTTTTTCAGGCCACCCTACCTTGGTGGGAAATGGCCGATGTGTTAATAATAATAATAAAAAAAATATCTTGTCTAGCTGTAGTGTAATGTGTGGCTCTGGGCCACTTGAAAAAAAAATATATATTTGGATCTTGTGTATACAGTATGTACAGTGCAGTAGAACCCCTACATCCACTGATTCGGCATCCACAGTTTCATTTATCCACGGTTTACTGTGGCCCAAAAATCTTTCTTTCAACACACTGGCCATATCCTTCCGAGGCGGGGTGGCCCAAAAGGAAAAATGAAAGTTTCTCCTTTTACATTTAGTACAGTAATATATACAGGAGAAGGGGTTACTAGCCCCTTGCTCCTGGCATTTTAGTCACCTCTTACAACACACATGGCTTAGGGAGGAAGAATTCTGTTCCACTTCCCCATGGAGGTAAGAGGAAATAAACAAGAACAAGAACTAGAAAGACAATAGAAGAAAACCCAGAGGGGTGTGTATATATATGCTTGTACATGTATGTGTAGTGTGACCTAAGTGTAAGTAGAAGTAGCAAGACGTACCTGAAATTTTGCCTGTGTATGAGACAGAAAAAAAAGACACCAGCAATCCTACCATCGTGTAAAACAATTACAGGCTTCAGTTTTACACTCACTTGACAGGACGGTAGTACTTCCCTGGGCGGTTGCTGTCTACCAACCTACTACCTACTTGGCCCAAAAATACCTCTTAATAATAATAATGGCCCCAAAGTGCAAAAGTAGAGAAGCTGGCAGTTCTTCAAAGCCCAAGAGAAGCCGTGAAATGCTTCCCATCAGTGAAAAAGTGCTAATTCTCCACTTATTGTCCATAATTTATCAATTAAACTTTATAATAGGTATGTATAGGATGTATACAGCCTTCTTCACTTAGCGACAGAGTTCTGTTCCTAAGACCACGTCGGTAAACAGATTCATCGTTAAGTGAGGAGCATATAATAATTTTGGTAGGTTTGTGTCAGCCATCATTGATATTGTTTTAATGTCACCTTTGCACCATTTATAACATTTCTGGTATATTTTAAATGTTTATACAGCAGTGTACTGTATATTGTAATAAACAGAATAGAGGAACTCGGCTCTAATATACGTACATTATTTAGGTATGCATACTGGTCAGAGAGCCCATCGTCAGTCCGAGTCGTCGGTCAATGAGTATGTCACTAAGTGAGGAGAGGCTGTATACGTATAGGGTTTGCTACTATCCACAGTTTTGGTATCCACAGCAGGTCCTTAGAACATATCCCATGCGGATACGGAGGCCCTACTGTATATATAATGTCTTTCCAAATTCATGGTGCTATGCTTCTTGAAGCTCTGTGAAAGTGGACGCTCTGAATAATACAAAATTATGTTTGCACAGTTCTTTTTTTAGATAAGGGTTTATTGTGTTTCAGAGACCATATCTCTGTAATACATTACTCTAATAAGGTAGGCATAGTACTTCCCATTTCCTGGACTCAAGTCCAGCTAACTGGTTTCTGTGAATCCATTCACAAAATATTACTTTGCTCACACTCCAACAGCTTGTCAGGTCCCATAAACCATTTGTCTCCATTCATTCCTATCTAACACGCTCACGCATGCCAAGCCCCTCGCACACAAAACCGCCTTTACCCCTCCCTCCAACCTTTTCGAGGATGAACCCTACAGATTTATACGCTCTCCAAGTCATTCTACTTCGTTCCATTCTTTCTAAATGACCAAAATACTTCAACAACCCCTCTTCAGCCCTCTGACTAATACTTTTTAGTAACTCCACACCTCCTAATTTCCACACTCCGAATTCTCTGGATAATATTTACACCAAACACTGCCCTTAAACAGGACATCTTCACTGCCTCCAGCCACCTCCTTGCTGCAGCATTTACAACCCAAGGTCCACACCCATATACTATACTTGTACAAAAATGGTATACAATACCAACAAGATGAAAATTAAGACACATGTGCAACATCTGGGTATCTTTATTGTAGATGTTTTGCCATCCAGTGGCTTTATCAATACAAATACTAGGAGATAATTTGAAGACAGTAGAACTATATACAAAAGATAAGGTAATCAGTCCCTCAGCCTTGGGGTCAGTGTGAAGAGCACCGTAATCATGAAGATTCTGTAGCACAGTCTGGCACTTATATAGTAATGTCAGGTGGAAAGGGACAGGTAGCTGACCTTCTTCATGGCTACTACAACTACTGCTACAACTAACCCATCCCTTTGGGTATGACCTACTTCCACTGGGGAATCCTGCCTACCAGTGACTATGCCCCCATCTGCTACCCATCCCTTTCCACCTGACATTACTATGTAAGTGTCAGCCTTACCTGTGCTCCAGAATCTTCATGACTACGGTGCTCTTCACACCAACTCCAAGGCTGAGGGACTGATTACCTCATCTTTTGTATATGGTTCTACTGTATTCAAATTATGTCCTAGAATTTGTATTGATAAAGCCACTGGATGATGAAACGTCTACAATAAAGATACCCAGATGTTGCACTTGTCTTAATTTTCACCACTATACTTTCGTACATTCCCTTCTTTGCCTCTATGGACAGCATTCTTTATCTCCACAGATACCTCAATGCACCACTCACCTTTTTTTCTTAATCAATTCTGTGGTTAACCTCATCATTCATAAACCCATCTGCTGACAAGTCAACTTCCAAATATCTGAAAACATTCACTTCTTCCATACTCCCTCTCTCCAGTGTGATATCCAGTTTTTCTTTATCTAAGTCGTTTGATACCCTCATCACCTTACTCTTATCTATGTCCACTTTCATCTTTCTACCTTTACACACCCTCCCAGACTCTTCCACTAACCTTTGCAACTTTTCTTTAGAATCTCCCAAAAGCACAGTATCATCAGCAAAAAGTAACTATTTCAGCTCCCATTTTGTATTTGATTCCCCATTATTTAATTCCACCCCTTTCCCAAGCATCCTAGCATTTACTTCTTTTACGACCCCATCTATAAATACAATGGTACCTCGAATTTCCAACAGCTCCCAACTTGAATAATTATACAAGTGTATTTTTATAGGTGCTTTTATAAGTGTATTTTTGTGAGTCTGAAATGGACTAATTTAATTTACATTATTCCTTATGGGAACAAATTCGTTCGGTAACGACATTCAAACAGCCTTCTGGAACGAATTTTGGCCAAAATTCGAGGTACCACTGTATATTAAACAACAGGAAGTAATCTCCCTCTCTCCTACATGCCCTAACCTGAGCCTCACTATTCTCATAAAAGCCGTTTTCAGTATTTAGTAACTTACTGCCTATTCCATACACTTGCAACATCTGCAACATTGCTCCCCTATCCACTCTATCATATGCCTTTTCTAAATCCATAAATGCAGTGAAAACCTCCCTTCCTTTTCCTAAATACTGTTCACATATATGCTTCTTGTATTTATTTGTAATTAACAAAATGACAATTTCCTCAGCTGGCTTGATGATGACGAGTGACATTCCACATGACATTGCTGTCAAGTCTACTTTGGACGTGATATGATACAGATCCCAAGATTTATGACAGCCTCTACTAGGTTCCTTGGACATCTATTTTCATAAAAAAAAAAGCCATACCATAGGGCGGGGATAGAACCCATGGTATGGTTTGTTTGCAATTGTGTCATTACGATTTCGTGAGTCATGTTACTATTTTCATCTTGCCTGTAGGACAGCATCCACCTTTGCTGTCAACTACCAGTGCCAAAGGATCACTGGTACTGATAATAAAGGAGAGGTCTTCAGGTGCAGTATGATCACTCACTAAATTTAAATCCAGTAATCAGCATTTTTTTAAATTTTGAATGTGGGTTAGGCCAAGTTAAGAATCAGGTTTAGAAAAAGGTTTAAGTTTATTATTCCAGTGCCTGAATCTAGCCTGTTGAGAAGCTGTGTCAGGCCTAGAGATGAATACTGTGTTGATCTTAGTCTACTGTTGCCAAGACAGGTTCAGAGACATCAAACAACAGTTCCTTGATAATGTGAGAAATCATGAAAGTGCTTGGAAATTCTCTAGTTTCTTCACAGTGGTTATTTTGTTTACCATATATAATTATGTATAAAAATCCATCACAAGTTAAACCTGGTAGGTAATAGTACATTTAGAGTAGTGAATATATGGTCATTCTTGATTAAAACAGTAGCTCAGTTGATAGCACCCTTAACTCACAGATTGAGGATCTGGGTTTCAATCTCAGCAAAGGTGGAGATGTTGGGTATGTTTCCTCTCCTTACACCTGAAGGCAAAGAGAAGATGTGGTAATATTGTCAAGGTATTAATTCTGGGATTGTGTATATAAACATTGATTTGAGCATGTGTATTATAGCCAGGTAAAGGACCTCGTGTCTCCAGTGTCTGGGATTGTTGGTTTGAGCCTCAATAGGTTTAAAAAAATATATTTGTCATGTCTGCTCACCTCTTTCAAGACAGAGATAACGTGAATGGTGAAAGCATCACTTTTTTGGGTCAGCCTACCTCGGTGGGAAACAGCCAGTGTGTTTAAAAAAATGTGAAAATAGGTCTGGGGGAGGAGATAAGTAGGGTGATTGTTTTTCTTTCAGTGAAAATCACTGACACTTGTCTGTCATGTGATGACCCTCTTCAGTATCACTGGTTGATCTACTATAGGGGTGCAGCAAGAAGCAACTGCTACCTTGGGATGTTGTAGATACAGCAGCTGATGTCCCTATGACTTGCCGCTACTATTTTGTTTCCTCACTGTTTTGCTTTGCAGTACTTTCACATAACTCTGATCTACTGTATGTTTTGCATGCTTTTTAAGATAATGGATAATGATGTAATGTTAACAAAGTGATAAATAAATAATTTAGTGAACTCTTTATTGATACATTTTACTCTTGAGTTGGCTTTTATCAAGTACATAGCTCAACGACAACAGTTACAGCTTTTATGGGGTATCCGATGCAGGTAGCCCATGCAAGGTTTCCTTTACTCCATGATGAGGTGTGCTACATAGTTGCCAATGTGTTAGTTTGATTTTAGATGACACCAAACACCTACATATAATTTCTTTGTTTTCTTGAAACATTAGCCTGTTTGCAACCACCCAGGGAAGTACTACCGTCCTGCCAGATGACTGTGAAACAAAAACCTGTAACTGTTTTGCATGATGGTAGGATTGCTGGTTTCTTTTTCTGTCTCATAAACACGCTAAGATAACAGGGATATCTTGCTACTCCTACTTACACTTTGTCACACTTCACAGACACGCACATGCATATATATATATATACATACATCTAGGTTTTTCTCCTTTTTCTAAATAGCTCTTGTTCTTTTTTATTTCTTCTATCTGTCCCATGGGGAAGTGGAAAAGCATCTTTCATGCCGTAAAGCCATGCGGTGTATTGACGGCGACTAAAATGCGGGAGCAATGGGCTAAGTAACCCTTATCCTGTATACAAATTACTAAAAAAGAGAAGAAGAAATAAACTTTATAAAACTGGGTTGCTTAAAAGTGCGTGGATGTGTGCGGTGACAAGAAAACAGCATGATTGCTTGAGTTATGAATGGAAAAGAAGTTGGAGTCCTGGCCCTAAAGCGAAACAACGCTGAAGGGGGTTGGGAGTGTTCAGTGGGGGGAAATAAAGGGAATTAAATTGAGTATTCTGAGAGAGTTAGGAGCAAAGGAAGGGGTAGCAGTATTGTTAAATGATCAGTTATGGAAGAGGAATAGAGAATATGAATGTGTAAATTTCAGATTGTTGGGATTAAAGTAAAGGTTGGATGCGAGAAGTGGGTCATAATAAGCGTGTATGCACCTGGAGGAAGAGAGGAATGCAGAGTGAGGAGAGAGATTTTGGGAGATGTTTAAGTGAATGTATAGGAGCCCTTTTGAACCAAGTGAGAGAGTAATTGTGGTAGGGGACTTGAATGATTAAAGTAGGACAGCAACTTTTAGAGAGGGTGTGGTAGGTAAAGTTTGGGTGGCTGCCAGGAGTAAATGATAATGGGAATGCCCTTTGATAGAACCTTTGTTATAGAAAGGGGTTTAGTTATAGGTTAATAACATATTTTAAGAAAATGAGGATAAATAAGTATAACGATATGAGGTAGGCGAAAAATGACAGTAGTTTTTAAGGATTATGTATTGGTAGATAAAAGACTGTTGAGATAGACTTCAGGATGTACATGTTTATAGAGGGGCTCAGATTATTCAGCATCACTTTCTAGTTTGTCGCTTAACACTGAGAGTAAATGGTAGATGGGATACAAGGAGAATAGAGCATCAGGGTAAGAGAGAGGTGAAGGTTTATAAACTAAAGAGGGAGGCAAGTTAGGGTAAGGATATAAACAGCTATTGGGCGATAGATGGGCTATGAGAGCATAGGCAATGGGGTCGAAGAAGTATGGGGTAGGTTTAAAATAAGTAGTGTTAGAGTGTTCATCCCACAGAAGTTTGTGGTTACAGGAAAGTGGTGCGGAGGCGCTAAGAGGAGCGATTGGTGGAATGATGATGTAAAGAGAATAGTAAGGGAGGGAAAAAGTTGCATATGAGACGTTTTTACCAAAAGTAGAAGTGATGCAAGGAGGGAAAGAGTATATGGAGAAAAAGAGAGAAGTTAAGAGAGTGGTAAGCAATGTAAAAAGAGAGCAATGAGAGACGTGGGTCGAGACTGTTATCAACAAATTGTGTTTGAAATAGAAAAAGTTTTGGGAGTGAGATTAATAGTTAGGAAAGCCTAGAGAACAATTGGATTTGTCAGTTAAAAATGGAGAGGAGAATTATTAAATGGAGAGTTAGAGGTATGGAAGATGGAGAATATTTTGAGGAATTGTTAAATTGTTGAGGAAGATAGGGAAGCTGTGATTTCGTGTATAGGGCAAGAGGAATAACATCTTGTAGGAGTGAGGAAGAGCCAGTTGGGAGTGTGGGGAAAGTTCGTGAAGCAGTAGTGTTAAAATGAAAGGGGGTAGGCAGCCGGGATTGGATGGGATAAAGATAGAATGTTGGTTTAAAAGCAGGTGGGGATATAGTTTTGGAGTGGTTGGTGCAATTATTTAATATAATGTATGGAAGAGGGTAAGGTACCTAGGTTGGCAGAGAGCATGCATAGTTCCTTTGTTAAAGCCAAAGGGGAAATAAACAAGGAGATTGCCAAAAAAGTTATAGGGGGATAAGTCTGTTGTGATGTACTGTAAAAGTGTTGCTCTAGGAGTTATAATTTGAAAGAAATTAAGAGTAAGACGGAGAAAGAATAGGATTGCAGATGAACAAGGAGGCTTTAGGGAAAGGTAGGGCGGTGTGGTGTGGACCAGGTGTTTACAGTGAAACATATAAGTGAACAGTATTTAGATAAGGCTAAGAGGTCTTTGTGGCATTTATGGATTTGGAAAAGGCGTATAGGACAGGGTGGAGAGGGGTGGCAATGTGGCAGATCGTTGCAAGTGTATGGTTGTTGGAGGTAGGTTTACTGAAAGCAGTGAAGTGTTTTTACGAGGATAGATGAGGCTCATTTAGGTTGTAGGAAAGGGGAAATTTTTTCCAGTAAAAAGTGGCCTTAGACAAGGATGTGTGATGTCACCGTGGTTGTTTATTAATTTATAGTGGGGGTTGTAGGAAGTAAATGCGAGGGTCTTTGGCATGAGGCGTGGCGTTAAAAGATAAGAATCACACACAAGTGGATGTTGTCACAGCTGCCTCTTGTGAGACACTGTGCTCTTGGGAGATTCTGAAGAGATGTTTGCAAGATTGGTGGATGATTTGGTTTTTAGGCGTGGTGCAAAATGACAGAAAATTAAAGATGAATACGAGGAAAAAGAGTAAGGTTATGAGGATAACAAAAAGATTAGGTGATGAAAGATTTGAATATCAGATTGGAGGGAGAGGAGTATGGAGGAGTGTGAACGTATTCAGATATTTGGGACAAGTGGACGTGTCAGCGGAAATGGGTTCTATGAAAGATGTATTGGTTGAATCATAGAAATGATGAAGGAAAAGGAGTGAGTGGTGCATTAGGAGTTGTGGAGACAAAGAATTTGTTCCTTGAGGCAAAGAGGGGACATGTATGAGAGTATAGTTTTACCAACGCTCTTATATGGGTGTGAAGCGTGGGTTGACTGATGAATTGTTGCAGCGAGCGTGAAAGGCTGGAGCAGTGAGTGGAGTGGTCCAAGTCTTGAGGGCAATGTGGTGGTGTGCAATATATTGCAGAGAATTCGTAGTTTTTAGATTGGACGTTGGGGAGGTGCGGGATTCAAAACTGTTGTCCAGAGGGCTGAGAGGAAGGTTGTTGAGGTGGTTCGCGACAAGTCTCTCCAGGAATGGAGCGAAACAGAATGACTTCAAGAGTGTATAGTCTGTAGTGGAAGGAAGGCGGGGTAGGGGTAGGCCTAGGAAGGGTTGGGAGGGAGGGGGTAAAGGAGGTTTTGTTAACGTGCGAGGGGCTTGGACTTCCTCAGGCAGCCATGCGTGAGCGTGTGTTTGATAGTGAATGGGAGACAAAAGGTTTTTTATACTTGACGTTGCTGTTGGAGTGTGAGCAAAGAGCTAACATTTATGAAGGGATTCAGGGAAAACCGGCAGGCCGGGAATTGAGACCTGGAGATGGAAGTTACAGTTGCCTGCACTCTGAAGGAGGGTGTTATGTTGCAGTTTAAAACTGTAGTGTAAAGCACCCTTCTGGCAAGGACGCAGTGTTGGAGTGGAATGATGGTGAAAGTTTCTTCTTTTTCGGGCCACCCTGCTTGGTGGGAATCGGCCGGTGTGATAATAAAAAAAAAAAAAAAAATTAGCTGTTCTCACCGTGATGTAGGAAGGTGAGTGTATGGTGTTGTACAGTGTGTTGATGGGGCGTCCATTCTACAGGTATATTTGTGTTCTTGTAGGCATGTGAGAAAATTCCTAACAGCTTCACTAATGTAAACTATTCATATCCATCAGGTGTGCTGTAGACTCATCATTGGGTCCTCTGTAGGGTGTGGAGGTCCTTGTGATGTCTCAGATGGTTTTGGCACTGGTTTTACGAAGTATATGGGCCACTGTGTTGGTTGTGGTGCCAGTAGGTAATGTATATTTTTATTCACTGTTCTGGTTTCTGGCATTGACGTATATCGTATCTACTTTGTAGCAAAATCAAACATGATGAGGGAGTTTGAGGTTGGAGGTGTTTTCTGATTGGTCTTGCTAATCTTTAAGTAAATCATCACTTCTGAGAATAAGTACCTGCAGGAAAAAAGCCAATTAACATGCCTTTCTTAGTTTTCAAGTCACAATGGGAGTAGAAGTGAATTTGATCATCCTTGTTTGGACATTTTAGTTAATCTCCTTATCTGGCAAGCCAGCTGTCAAGGAAGGTAGCATGTTATCGGCTTTTTTCTCCAAGGTGAATTGTATTGAAGAATATCTGGTTTAGTTGCTCCTTGAGGTGGTGCTAGTTGAAGCACCTGAGTACAATAACAAAGGTATAATCATTGTATGCCATCCAAGTGGTGTATCAGAAAATAATGTTGGAGTCTTTCTTTAAAAGTTAACGTAGATTTGGCCTACAATAGTTGCCCCATTGTGATCCCTTGTTCATAATAAAAATTTATGCCTGTTAGTTTAAGGGTCCCAACAAAAAACTGTTGAAACTGAAACTTCTACCAAGTGATGGCATTAGGAGTGGAGAGATGAAATTAAGTAAACAGGGTCTTGTGACTGTCATTGGTTTCTTAGCAGTGACATTGCTATCCTGAAACTACATCTACCCCAATCTTATTGCGATCGTGGTTGAAGGTTTATTTATGTTTCAACCTTTTCATTTGACTTCAGCAATGAATCACCTTTTAAGCTAGGCTCATATTACCTTGAACACTTGCGAGGGATAGACTGCCTTCAACAGCTCCCTCAAGTGAGGTTCCTTGATGCTGGTGAGGGGCTCTTGATTAGGGAATTGGATCTGTGCCCGTTACCCTGAATTGAGCCTGAATACTTCAATCCCCCCAATAATGCCTGTTTAATCTATGGGTTAGTGTCCCCATAATTATAAAACATAAAAATTCTTTGCTTCAACATTATTCCTTATCACATCACCTGGAATGAAGCAAGTTGGACAGCATCGAGTCATTATTCACAGGAAGTTTTCAACTTATGAACGCATGGTGACTAATGAATTGTATATAATATTCATAAAAGGGAAGTCTTCGACTTAGACATGCTGGGGACCTTCTGATTGTGGCATAATATGATTTAATAACAAGATA